ACTAGAGCTTTTCCAAATTACTATTTTCTTTACACATAAAAGAACCGTTGGATGTAAGTGGCAAGTTTTCGTTCATTGTAAAGGACCAAGAGAAGGCCTTTCATTCAGCGCTAGACGTCTTGTAGATAAAGGTGATGATAATCAAAAATAATATATAGGAAACTATATTTTTCAAATAAAAAAATACAATAGAAAATTAAACCTTAAACTGCACATTTTAATATTCAAATTAAAATATCGATATACAAATAAGGTGATATTATGTTGCCCACACACCAACCTTCGTGATACGATCCACGGAGGCCAACGATCTACCTCGATCAATAGTGGAACTTTACCGGTAACTGATAACAAAATGTCAATGTGAATGATACATGGATTGATCGATTGATTAGGTACTATGTTTCTTTTTTATTATATGGAAAACTAGCTTTTACTCACGGCTTAGATGGCGTATTCGTGTTATATCCCATGGGTGCATTTAATCGGGATAAAAAGTGTCCTATCACCAAGTCAGCCCATATTCCGTCTGTATACCAAATTTTATAAAAATCCGTTCAGTAGTTTCAGCATGATTGATAGACGAACAACATCCAAATAAAGAAACTTTCACATTTAGAGCCAATTTTTCAATGCTCAGATAAATTTTAACTTAGGAATAACTTTTACAATTCTTTCATACTAAAAACTGTCAACAGTCAATTTTATTCTACTGCCGTTGGAACCGCATTGGTAAATTACCGTACTCCGTAAGTAAAGCTGAATGTCTTCTCACTGTACACGCTGTTTTCTTTTTTAAAGGGATTAAGGCGGTAAACGAGCTTACAGATCACCTAATAGTAAGCGATTGGCACCACCCAAGGACACCCAAAATAACAGACGCGTTATAAGTGTGTTGCAAATTGGAGGATTGTACAGGATTCGGGGATTAGGGACAATGGGGATGGGGATAATTGGGCTTTTAGTAACCTCACTCACACGATGAAATACAGCGCAAGTGTTGTTCTACGTCGGATTTCTGTAAGGTCGTGGTATCAATCTTCAAAGAGCTCTAAATCACTTACATATTTAAAAAAAATCTTATTACCATCTCAATTCTACCATTAATTTACATGCACATCATTAAAAAAAATGTTATCACTACTACAGTTTAAAACTGACACAAAATGTAATTCACTATTTACCATAAAATGTGGAGCGAGATTCGTTCCACTTACTAATGCACTTGACCAACTGTAATTAACGATTAGATACTATACTAGACGAGATATTATGCCAATGATCATTATAGGGTAACCATTCTCCTGCTTTTTAACCGACACCAAAAAAGGACGTTCTCATTTTGACCTATTTTTTTAAAGAAATGTTGCCCCACTTTAGGATTTTCTCCTGTGTCGTGGGTGCATTTACAAACATACAAGTTCACATACACATTACACCCAGACCCGAAACAACAATTTGTGGATCACACAAAGAGTTGCTCCGTGCGGGAATCAAACCTACAACACGTTGCGCGCCAACCAGTTGCCCAGCCACCGCACCAAACGTGCAGTACATGTTTGTGTACAAATATCTTGCGATTGGCAGAACTGATTTTGATAGGGTTTTCAAAAAAAATTGTTATGTACACTTAAGAGAGAGTTGTAGTATATTAATTAATTGGCTTCAAAAAAGAGGCGGTTTAAGTCGGTTCGTCTATACATAATTTATAAAAGAATTATTATTGTATGGCAAACGAGCAGATAACTTATCTAATGATGTGCAATCGGTGTCACCCCTACATACCCACCCATACCACCATAAGTGTTGTAAGGGCGTTTAAGACGAGACTAATGCTCGTTGGCACCGACTTCTCCAAAAAATTTAAGGAATCCCTCAGATATTCCTCGTAGTGGCCCGGAGTTTTAAGACGCCCGCTGCTCCTAAAATGAGAGTGCAGGTTCTAAACCTACCAAAGGCATGTAACAATTTGATTTTTTCCGAGTTATATGTACTTTCTAGGATTATCTAAACACCACTGACAGACGGTGAAGGAAAACATCATGCGGAAACCTTTGCTTACAATTTCTAATTTTAAATTTGAAATCGCCAATCCGCATTGATTAAGCGTGGTGATTAATGCTCAAACCTTCTTCGTGCGAGAAGAGGCCTTTGGTCAGCAGTGGCCACTTATAGGCTGTTGATGATAAAGCTATGACAGATTACACTTAACGAAATTTTCGTTTTCACCGACTTATAAGGGAGGTGCTACGTTACGCAAAGTAACTTTTAGTTAAAAAATGGCTTAGGAGATGGGTAAAAACGCCTAAGAGTCTCTGGTTAACTCACACAGCAAAATACAATGCAAGCATTGTTTTACGCAGAGTTCCTGTGAGATTGTGGTTTCCCTCCGGTTGGACCGGCCTGGGTGCTTACTCCTGAATCCAATTCCAATCGATCGACATTGGTATTGTGAAATTTCGTACTCTCGAGTTGCGACACTAGCGCCCATTGCATCCGTATTGCGTGGATATTTAATGAACTAAATGGTATTCAGTTTGGATTTATATTCCGTACTCTGAATGCTATTTTACCGGTTACGATTGTGGTTGTATATATTGATATGTGTTGACATTGAATAGTTATTGAGATGTTATTGGATTGAAGTTGCATTGACATTGAGATTGGTTTCAAGAGTAAGCACCCTGTTCGTATCTACGCATGGGTCTCCCACGTAGCTATTATTATATTCTTGCAATTAATAAAATTATATGAGCTAATAAAACTGAAGATTGGTTTTATCAGGTTTCATTTCAGCATAATTATAAATAGTTTATAAATCAATAAATAAACAATATTAATTGAAATATTTTCAATCAATTAATTGAAATATTAACTGGATAATAAAAAATGTGTTTTATCAATTAATATTTAATCAATCTTTCAATCAGTTAATTAACTTCTTTTTGTGTGGTGATTAAAAAAATGTTCTAATTATAAATAATTTTATTAAACTGTTTTGTTTTCAAGGTCATCTTTTGTTTAATAACCTTTATAAAAATAACCTTAGACACAAAAAATAGGGAAGAAAACGAAGAACAATGTGCTCAAGAGTTACTTAACATGATTTAACATACTAAAAGGAAATAACAAACAAACTGACAAACGAATCAAATCACGTAATGTACAAGGAATAACATTTAAATTGCAAAACATCTTTATCATTGATTTCATTGTTTTAAAATATTTCATGGTTTTAACAGAGTTCGCTATTAATTTTAACAGCTGAAATATATGAATACGTAATTATGTTGAAGGTGACAAATTTTTAAGCAGCTAACTCTGAGGTTTCGGAAAATGATTATTGTGAATACATCCTTACTATTTATAATATTATAAATCGGAAAGTGAGTTGGTTTGTTTGTTTGTTCCACTTTCACGCCGTAACTACTAAACCGATTGCTTTGAAATTTTGCAGACGTAAAGTTAGAAGTCTGGATTAAATAATAGGGTACTTTTTATCCCGGAAATATTTGATATTCCCGAGGGAAAACAAAAGTATTGGTATAGATGGTGCTGTGTGTATTGGTATATGTCACATTGGCTTTTTATCCTTTTGTGACGCGAGCGAAGCCGCGGGTAAAAGCTAGTAATAACATAAAATCACGCCTTTTATCCCCGAAGAGATAGACAGAGATTGCTCTTACTCAATGCTACTGTACCTCTACAATGTAACACCCACTTTTTACTATTTATGTTTTGAGTCCCATGTAATAGCGAGTAAGCCTATTGAATATATTTTGAATTCGTAATTATAAATTTGTGTTCTTCTGGACACGGGGCGTTATCCGGAAGTTCCTCTCTCTAGAGCCCTGACCGCCGGCCGGTAGCTGGGATTTCTCCCGTTACTGGTGGGCTACTGTTTTATATATTTTTAAATGTTTTTATTTGCAACAACAACATAACATCACGCCTTTTATCCTCGAAGAGATAAGCAGGGATGCACATTACGGTACTCAATGGCACTGTACAATCAAATGTAACACTCTCTTTTCACTATTTATGTTTTGAGTCCCATGTGATAGGGGTGAGCCTATTCCTTTTTTTGTGATGTTGTATTATGATTTTATAACATTAATTTAGTTTTTAGTAGTAAATATTTAAGTCATAATTATTATTTAGTACATACATAAACTATAGTCACCATGATAAAATAATGTAGTCATATAATATTATGACTAAGTACACAATACAGGTGCCAATGTATACAAATATTTCGATAATGTCTATGGTTATCGTAACGATTACTAACGATGTACGGTTCCGCGACTGTAATCGTTATCCGTCGAGGTTGCAGCGAACCTGACAATGAATTTGTAATAGTGATGTGCTTTGTGTCAATATTATGTTGATGTTATCGATAATTCTCGTTCTTCTTTTTAATACCAGTATTCTTCTCTTCCTTCTGGCTAGAGATATGTGACTGTCATAGTGGGTTTTATTCTCGCCTAAAACAGATTTTCCGATTTCAAAATATACAAAAGATTTAGCAAAAAGGTGTGATGGATTCTGGAATTACATACAAGTATAAAGATTCGTAAGAAAAGGCTATATTGATACCTGCTTCTCCAAATACCGAATGATATGGAATAACAACCATGACGTCAAATAAATTGGACATATTATAAAAAACGATTTTCCACAGAGTATTAGATATTAAGAGTTGAATTAGTCCATATAAAAATATATCGATACAAGAAAATGCAAGCGCATCACTACAAAACATAGGGGTCAGGCCTTCAAACATGCGAAGGAGGGCCGACACAAATCATAGAGGAGTTAAATATCCTTAAGTTAATCGTCAAACATGTAGTGAGTGCACGCACTTTGACACGTATATTTATATACGGACCTATATTTATATTATCGATATATTTAGTGATGTCCTAGACCTATATCGCACAGATATATACCAGTGTAATATCTGAAAATTCATCAGATAATTGTTTGTTTTTGACAACATGTGTCGTGTGCCTATTTTTGTTTTCGTGTTTTATATTTTTTGTGTCAATAATGGAATTTGTTTTATTAACTGTGAGTATTTATTTTAAAATGTAAATTGTTATTTTGAGTTATATTTCAATGAATTCTATTCGGTACTTATGATCCAAATTTTTAGAATTAAAATTGTATGAAATGATTTTGTTACTTAGTTAACATTATTATATATTATATTTATTCAGTGAATAATAAGAAATAAATACAACAGTGGTAAACAAACAAAATACTTCAAAAGAAACAACACTTGTAAAACATATGCAAAATATTCTAAGAAATTCTCATACATAATAATAATTATCTATTATAATTTATGCTTCCGTGATTTTTACTATTTGCAATGCAGAGCTTACATCAGTGTCGATAAAATTAATTAACAATTTTAAATCAATTTACATTAATATATACATCTATAATATCAGAACATTTTTTTAATCCATAATAATTAATAGCAAATTAGGCTATCTGAAAAAATACAACTATAAAAAAGTTACGATAAATAAACAAATAAAATATATTACATAAAAATGCTACATATATATATATACGTAATCAAAATTAAAACGTTCAATATAACAATATAAAACCTTGACTGACATGAATCATAACAAAAGTCGACCGTGACCGAGGCTTTGACCTACAGACCTGCAATCTATATATAGCCCAACAAATTATGTAGCATATTATGAAATTAAAGACTATATATAGCCTGAATAATAAAATTATCAAGGAAACTAATGAATCACCTTATCTGATCATGAAGCGGTTTATTGTAATGATATGAATGAATTTTCGTGGCCATTGGCTGTATTTTAGGAGGTCCATTCATATATTTTATGAAATTAATTGTTAGTTTAGTAGATCACAAGTAATTTAAGTAGTTAATTTAAGTGTGGGAATGCCATGATTTGGCACAAATGGGCCAGCTCGACCGGAGTGATACCACGGCCTCACAGAAAACCGACGTGAAACAACGCTTACGTTGTTTTTCTTCGTGTGAGTGTGGTTACCCCCCCATTTCCCCAATCCCTGAATCCCCAACGATCCTCAAACTCCTAATCCCCAAAAAGCCGGTGACGCACTTGTAACGCCTCTGGTATTCAAGGTGTCCATGGGCGACGCCGATTGCTTACCATCAGGTGATCCGTCTGCTCGTTTATCGGCTTATGCCATAAAAACATTCGTTACTTTTGTGAAAATATAACTTGTTTTTTCACCATTATCTGTCAGCGTTTTTCGGGAGCATTTAATTTTTTTTATATATATTTGATGGGCCGACGTTTGACCCCTATCTCGCCTGATGGTAAGCGATGATGCGGTCTACGATGAAGCACGTGGTCCCATAAGAAACCTTGATTTACAACAAAATATCTGTTTTACAATAGTATTATCACTTTATTACTTGGAACTCATAACGAAACTAATGAAAAATTGATCTTACATTGTGTACAAGCATTGTCGCGTTGCACTTTTCTGAATAAGTAAAAATATCTTCTTCATACATATTTATGACGTGATTCTGGTTGAGGACGATCCCCAATAAGATGGTCGGACCAGCTCAAGGCCATCTCAGCATTGAGGTTCTACACCACAATACAGATGGCCGGAGACAGGAGCCAATGGAACAAATCGTCCAATCCTGATTTTTTTCCAGGATGATCACGATCTTCAGTCATAAGAGAACGGCCGGAGAGAGATGACGTAAGTTGTGTACCCTCAATATTTAAGGGCCCTATTTCTTCCTCTAGTGGCTGACGTAGAATGCGGTATCGACGTGGCTCGCAGTGCCCGTATAGTGGGCGGAGTGGACAGCCTGCCTGCGGAGTTCCCCTGGGCAGCCAGCGTGTGGAGACAGGGTGCTCATCAGTGTGGAGCCACTGTGCTCAATGATAGGTGGCTGCTGACTGCTGGACATTGTGTTTGCAGGTATAGAGATCTAGTTATACTGTGATTAGGGATCTTGATGACTGTTTCATTTGTTATATGATAATTGCGTCCAGAAAATTAATATTTACTGGATAATTAATATTTAATGTATTTTTGTATATTTTCGACACACACACAAACACACACACACATATATGTATATTAAAAAGGATGTAACATAGGTCGCTACCCTAAACACGCCCTTATTTATAGACAAACCTACTGCTTAATGTCCCATTGGCGACAGATCGCAATTTAGAAGTGTATGTATTTTTGTCTAGTGTAAAGAATAACATTCTTTCTATTTTTATGAAACTACCTAGGAGCTAGACTCGTCTAAATATTGCACATCGTTCATCAATAAAATCTTAAATTAACATTACTTATGAATAATTTTCAGTGTGTTCGATGAGTTCTACAAGTCAAAGCAACTTTCAGTTGTAGTTGGTTACACCGATATCTCCGTCAAGGATGAAAATCAACCTGTTGCCAGAATCATCCCTCATCCAGATTATAGGTAAGTCTCCTTCTCCATTGCCCAAAAGTTAACATCTAGTAAAAGTATGTTAGTGCATTGTTCGGTTCCACCATTTTCCATATCAACAATAAGACCTGATACTTATTTTGGTTTTTTAGCAAAACTTTCTAATATAGGTAATAATTTTATCGAATATTTATAACTCTAGTTACAAAGGTTTTCTAGACGAGTTATTGCCCTTTTAAAAAACCTTTACTACAATGACTAGAAGTTCATAAACTTGTGTCTTTGACCCTAAAACTCTTTCAGTTGATTGTTTTAACTCATTAATTATCTTTCCATTTCAAAGATGACTTTGTCTTATTATAATTAAAAACACATTTGCAAGTAAGCATGAACAGTATTGTCTAAGTACCTGAATATCAGTTTCAAGTTTTGACGTGTCTTTGATAAAACCCTTGATGTGTTATCGTCTCGTTCATTGTAATTATCTTTATATTATATTGTTATAAAGTATTTTTGGAAAATATGTAGATAGATGAATTGATATTATATTATGTTTTGTTTCATGATAGAAATGTAGTCATATTTTAATAGCGTAGAAATCTATTTATAGTTTTGTGCAATGAAACATATTATATATGTTTCATAACATTGCACTTCAATTTTTATTAATCAAAGAATCGAATTAGATACGTTTTGGTATTGATGGACACTCTGAAGATAATAAAATACACATAAAAAAATTAGTAAATTAATAGCCGTTAAGCTATTGTCTATAATCAACTTTTTGTATCTGTTCCAGGTGTAACAAGAAATCTAATGACGTAGCTCTTCTGAAGACAGCTCGGCAACTGCGCTGGTCAACTGGTCTCCAACCAGCGTGTCTGCCCAACTCCCCTGCCCAGGACTTCAGTGGAACGTCAGCAACTGTTGCTGGGTGGGGTTTTACTCATGAGGATAGAGAGAAAGGTAAGAATCCCGTTGATTTTAGAGATAAACAGAGCTGACAGCTGAAGCTAGTGGTAACGAGACATGTGTAAAATTCACAATTAATTATCAACTTTGTTCGATTTGATTTTAGAACTACAAATGTTTTAATATGAGTCCCATGTAATAGGGGGTGAGCCTATTACCATATACCGGGCACAATTCCAGACTCTGTGCTACTACTGAGATTTTTTTTAAAAACTCAGTAATACTTTGCCCGACCCGGGAATCGAACCCGAGACCCCTTGCCCGGCAGTCGCACTTGCGACCACTCGGCCAATGAGGCAGTCTTTCTTAAGTCATTCTATCTCCTGCGTTAATTCACCGAGGGAAGTGGAAATTATTGATTTTTTCTTCTAATCTATTAATATCTTCTGATTTATTTCGTTGCGGAATCCAAGATAGTTATTCATGACCCTGAGACGCGTCAGACTTCAGTGTTCCGGTGTTTTCATGGTTGTATATAATGTAGATCCTGCGGCTTACAGAAGTTGCAGCGGTTTTGAGAGATTGTGGCGGGATTGGCAAAACAAGTAAAATGTTCTCAATTTAGTATCAAGTTTGTTTGATTTGAAACTATACAAATATTTTACTGTCCACTTGATTCTCGATAGGCTAGGTGATTAGATAATAACGATTTATGAAGTTGTATTATACAATGATATCTGTAAGGACATTATTGCAAACCTGTTGGTTGGATACTCTATACTCTAAGCACGGTACTGAGACAAGTGCCCATTAAAACTATTCCACTTTTACTGTCAATGATGGTCAAATTCCATCACATATTATGGTACAACATTTAATTTTTGAAGATGATGCTAAATCCAACGTATTTAAATATAACGACTTGGTCTCTAACTAAGCGTATCTTCATCTTCTTCTAGGGTCAAGACCCAGCATATTACAGAAGACAGAAGTGACAGTAGTGACGAATGATGAGTGTAACAGCTGGTACAGGTCGCAGGGCAGCAAGATCAAGGTCATTCCCACCCAAATGTGTGCTGGACATGAAGTTGGGGGCCGTGATTCTTGCTGGGTGAGTATCGGGGTATCACACATGCTGCATTCATTAAATTAAAAGAATAATATCATGGAAAGATAATAATTATACACTACTTCTTCGATGTCTTTGACTGGATATTGGTGTTACATTGTTTTCACATAATTGAACAAAGGAAACAATCTAACTAAATCACAATATTGTGAACCTGATTGAAAATAATGTAACCTATGGAGTTTCTTGCTCGTTCTTCTCCATAGGAATCTACACGTTGGAATGAGGCAAATAGCTTCAATATAGAACTGACCGACAGACTGACACATCATTTTTGTTGACGTTCAAAAGTGTCTTCCTCGTCTAATTGAAATAAGTGCCTTTGACTTATTGTAGATATAACAATCACCACATAACTTAATCTTTACTTTAGATCAAGATATTTTTAAATGAACAACAGTATGACTTTTCTACCCACAGGCTGACAGCGGTGGCCCACTCATGGTCAGGGACGACAGACGGCACGTGATGGTAGTAGGAGTAGTTTCCACTGGCAGTGGATGTGCCAGACCCAGGATGCCTGGAGTATACACCAGAATATCTAGATACACGGACTGGATAGTACAAAGCATCAATGGAGATACAGCAAGAAGTGGGTTGAACTGGTATCCAAGTTTTAGTAGCTTTTTTGGACGAAGATGAAGATAATAATGGCGAAGATATAAATGGTAATGATTTGATAAGAAATTTTGAAGAATTGTCAAAATGAGACACATACGTCATAAATGCCTACAGAGTAAAGCACTCAAGAGAAATTTTCTAAGGAATTGTGCTTTGTCTAGATCGCAACAAAGTGCAAGTGTACAATGTTAGTTGTAAAAAATTAGCTAATTTATTTGTTCATAGTTTTATCATAGAGAGAGAAAATAAAAACTGGTTGATATTTTTGGCCACTATAATAAAGGTGATAAAATTAAGAACGAATTAAACAATGTTATGATATTAGATTTAAGCATATAGTAGTTACATAATATGTAGATTAACAATGAGCTGTGAGTAAATTTTAAACTATAATAGGTAGTACAATTTACAAACTAGACTAATAATAACAAAAATGCTTCTTAAAAAGTACTTCTTTAAAATAATAATTAGCTCAAAGCAGATTTTATTAGCTTTAACATATTAAGTATTTTTTATTGTAATAAGTAACAAACTAGCATCATAGGATGCGTACTAACATCAAAGAAACCACTGTGATATAGTTTAAGATAGAATTAACAAGAAAGAATCAATAAAGAAGTAATCAAACTACTATTTTCTTTTGTTTACAAAACTTATCAAATTCCCTTCTACTGTCATCTAGTACGGACTGTAGTCTTTTTCCAGAAACTTCTTCCAAATCATCTTTGACCGATTTCAAGGCATCTTCTATAGCCAATTTAGCTTCAACCAGCAAGGGTTTAATATCTTCTGTCTTTGAAACAACCATATTTTTACACTTCATAACCAATGCTGAATGTAGCTCATGCTGCAGAACAGTGTTATACAAACTCAGCCTAGCATTGCCTGGATCCAAAGCCTTTGTAACAGAAATTAGTTCTCTACACATTTTGATTTTCTTATCAAGAATATCCATCGACGTATAGCCTTGTTCTCTTCCGTATAATTGTACTAGAGAATGCTTCAATGAATACATGTAGTAATGATTAGGATGTAGGAACATTGTCAATCTACAAAGCAGATTCTCTAGTATCGTCACGGAGCCATCCATCATCAGAACTGCTTCAACATCTTCCCCCATTTGAGACATAATCATATTCACTTGAGAACTGCTCACTCTAACTGGACATTTACTACAAACCCAATCAGTTTCATCATCCAAAGGATCTTCTGGTAAATGAATACCATCACAAGGTTTATTTTCATCACCTAAACATTTCATAGCACTTAGATAAGTGCCAAGTTCAGTAGGATCGCTACATCTTGGACATTTGCAAGCAAAATATTTTGAGTCTTTCAAGTGTTGTCTCCTTGCTTGCGTTCCCCATAATGCATGACTATACATTGTAGCTATGTGATAGTTTTTTATTATGGGGACAACAGCTTTGATTGTTATTTCGTATAAGTCTTTCCTATCTTTAGGATTAAATGCAAAAGATGTATGCTTCGTGTTAGGCATGCAACTATGTTCCATCTTACAAGTTACAGCGTACAAAGCGCTAAGTTCAGTTCCTTGCGGCAGACGAATCTCCAAAGCATTCGTGTCGATAATTCCACAAATTCTATGAAGTAATTCCGAAGTTATTTCATACGATTTTCTTAATTTTTCATCCATCTTGTTTATAAAGTTGTTAATTAGATATTCGACGATGAATTCGTTGGCCTCCCTGGAATTACAAAGAGGGAATTAGTTTTATGATGCTATAAAGACTTAATTTCAAATTGGAATATTCTATCCTTCGACTTAATTACTTAGAAAGTTTTGGAATTCAGTATTAAGTTTTCGAATCGAGGTTTTGTTTACCTACAGTCTTTTGATAGCCGAGTCATCTGTCATATTGTTAGTAAAGAACAATTAACAATGTTCATGAGCTCGCAACAAAAGATTGTTTGAAGTTCAGAAGATATTAAAGAAGTGGACTATAGTAAATGTTGTCATTTAATAAAATTTTCATAAACAAACATTTAATGATTTTAAAGAAATGTCGAAAATAATTGAAACCTCTTTAGACTTTTCAATCAATTCCTCAATTCTCATAAAAACACGTTTTCCTCTTTTCGTTTGATAGTATTCAGTCGAAGTGTAAACAGCTTTTCGAAACGGACGATGATTAAACTTCCTGTTAAATAAATAAAAGAATTTCAACGGAGCTAAAAAGAAATGGGTCCAATTTTAATTATTTTCATTCTTAAATAGTAGGTTATTAGGTTCATTTTCATAGCCTTATTTAAACAGTTGGAAGATAATATCTGTAGTTTGCTGCTACTACTTTCGAACTAAATTATAAAATATTATTTATAGTTGTTTATTGGACAAATCAATAACATGATAAAGGTAGAGCTAAACTAGTGCCATCAGAAGCTCATCTTTGCAGTGCGTGAATTTGGTAGTGTCTGTCCTTTTTGCCCATAGACACATGACACAGGCGTTACCAGGCTTTTGGGATCAGGAATTTGAGTATTGTTGGGGATTCAGGAATTGAGGAAGGAGGGAGGGAAGTGATTGTGCCTCCGGTAACCTCACTCACATGACGAAATACAACGCGAGCGTTATTTCACGGCGGTTTTCGGTGCGACCGTGGTATCATTCCGGTCGAGCCGGCCCATTCATGCCGATGCATGGTTCTCCCACGCTTTTCGACTTTCCAGTATGCATTATTCTTACTTAGTCGTATTGAAATATCATCATTATCATCATCAACAGCCTATAAATGCCCACTGCTGAGCAAAGCCTCTTCTCACATGGACAAGGTTAGAGGATTAATCACCACGCTTGCTCAATGCGGGTTGGCGATTTCAAACTTATAAACTTAAACAGTATTGAAATATAGTCAACATAAATTATAATTATTATCTATCCTCGACAAATGATACAGTTAACCTTTTGAAACGACCTAGGTATTTTTTATTTTTTGTTTCAAAAACAAATGAATGAAAGGATTTTTCAGACATCCCAGTTAAACGGACATTTCCGCGACCCAAAAATTTTAAGAGAAAAAGGGAAACGTGTTTCCTTTTTTGTTTTCACGTTGAAAACCTTCAAAGGGTCCAAAGTTTGGGGCAAATTGGAAAGGGACTTGTTGGGTGTATTTGTTTGTACATTGTACCTCATTTCATTCATTTAAAAGACCATTTTAGAAACCAACCTTGTTTGTCGTGGGGTTCTAAGACTCGCACATGCGACCACTACATGATGGATTCAGTAATGGACATATAATATAGATAGAAATAGAGTTAAGCAAAGTACGATTGGGGTAGACGTGTTCTGGAGTGGAGACCGCGTCTAGACAAACATAGTCTAGGGTGAGCCCTACTCATTACTCATTTCAGCTTGGTGGAGTGACGATATACGTAAAGTGGCTGGTAGTGGTTGGATGCGTAGAGCTGAAGATCGAGCTCAGTGGCACGGCCATTGAAGAGGCTTATGTCCAGCAGTGGACGAAAAAAGGCTATTGATGATGAAGGTCAGATTGAGTATTTTGTAAGTATATTCACAAGTCTTGGAGTAATTTCTACTGTACTTAGTACAGTACAAATCTCCCCTTCGATTTAGACCATCGTAATTAATAAAACTAGATTAGCCTACTACGCCGGTGATAGTAGGAGAGGAGTGCCGGAGAGGTAGAGCATAAGTATATGCGCTAAGACAAGATGTGTATTCTCTGTTCCCTCACTCTCTGCAACCGCAGCAGACCGACACGACCGGAGAGAGAATCAGGTTCAACGGCTTTACATGTATGTTATTTTTATATATTAATAAAGGACTTGTATCCGTGCCCTTTTCATATTACAGTCTGTTTCATTTTGTGCATGGTGAAATAATTGTTATAAAGTTCTTACATGCTACGCTAACCTCTAATATCACTTCAAAGTACTTGATGTGGTTACCTGTATAACTATTATAATCTTATTATCTTACACTAAATCTACTGGATCAGCCCACCAGCACGATGAGCGAGCCGATTTGTTTCAGCAGAAGCGGGTGCCTTCTGCTGAAGCAAATCACGGATATGACGTGAAGGCCAACAACCGGTCCGATCAACTATTTCGTAGGGAACGGAGTGACCCAAACCACAGCACCACCCACTACACATATACCGCTACGTGTATGTTATGTAAATATTTTATACATACTCATAAGCCTCGCTTCCAGGTGGTCGGCACTCCATGTGTGACTGCAAATCCAGGAGTTGCTTCCAACCTTCAGGGTCTGTCTTCTGGAGTAATGCACATCTTAATGGCATTAGGGCATCATGTCTGAAAAAGTAAATCTTTAGTAAAATCTCAGTTTTACTAGATTCTTATAATTTATAGTGTTATGTGTTGCTTAAAGAACATTTTTTTTCTGTTGAATGACGACATTTCTATCTATTTTCAACCTAATTCACCAAAATTCACTTATTTCACCAGACCTGTTTAGAACCTTTTATTAAAATTAACATAACATCATAACATCAAGCCTTTTATCCCCGAAGGGCATAGAAGGCAGAGGTGCACATAGAGGTAACACCCACTTTTCACTGTTTATATTATGAGTCCCATGTAATAGGGGGTGAGCCTATTGCCATATACCGTGCACATAATATTAAAATTAACTGTTTATTTTTGTCGCTTACTTCTATTACAATGTTGAAAATATTTATATACTGCGTCTGTGGGTTTCAAAATCGACAATTCTTTTGAGAAAAGTGTACCTATACATGTCGAAATGAAGAAATGAAATCGACTATCCTAATACTAGTAGTATTAGTAGTGCTAGTATTAGTATAGCCGATTCCATTTCTTAATTTCGGTCAGCATTATTGGACAAAGTATTTTGTAGGCCAAAAAGGATGGGAGGGTTTTTAATTTACTGTCTAGACAGATAAGTAAGTAGAAAAAAGATCTTAGTAACAGTAGCTATAGGTACTTAATTATTTTCTTTGATTGTGCCCAGAGAAAGTTAAAAGCCTACTTTTGTTATATAACGAAATGTCTTTGGAATTCATAAAAGAAATCTACTAATGGAGATAGATTCTTCAGACTTGATTCCAACTCTATTTATCTTGGTAACCGAACCGGTAATAATAGTTTGGGTTTATCCAACCTTTGTTTGGGAGCTGGGTTATCATCTTTAGTGAGTGACTCGGTCTTACCTCTTTTACCATTATCATAATTTAACATTTATTAACTTATATTACATACTAATTAATTATTATTACCGCAGCAGACTCAAGTCAACCAGTAGCAGCACGACAGCCGCCGCGTCGCGGGTCGCGGAATGTTGCTCATGAATATAAGCCTCTAGCATGGCTTGAAACTAGTCGAATTCCTCGTCAAACAGTTACGTGTGTAAGCCGAAAACATAATAATTAATATTTCTTTAAACAATATCACAGTCTTCTTTGTTGAACACTGTATACCTCTCCGCCTAAATTATTATTTATAACTTGCTAAGACTAACATCATTTACGTGTTATCATTTCAGACACAGTTTCGCCATTGTAGTCAAGTTAAAAGTAGTTTATATCTCTCACTAGCCTCTTGATTCCCTTCAACATAGTACCTCTTCATTTTTGAACTTAATAAAAGTATTCCATCACGCTTTCCTATTTATAATATCGGTAATTGAAGACGAAGTAACAAACCTGTAGTAATCGGCCATGTTTTTTAAAACACATTCGGGTCTTAAGCTGAGGATTTTACATTCAGCTCCATGATGTCTTGGATCCTTTAGACCTGGACAGTTGCCTGAGCAAACGGGCCAGCCGCACCTGCAAATGTATATAGAGAAAGGGATAAAACTACTACTATACCTCTAGGTAGCTTCTTTTTCCAGAAACTGCACATCTAAACTTTACCATATTAGGTCCTTTGATATCAAAATTCTCATAAATAACAATGAGTCTTTAATGAATTCGGTGTTCGACTACCGGGCAAGGGGTCTCGGGTTCGATACCCGAGTCGGGCAAAGTTTTACACTGTTTTTAAAAATAATCTCAGTAGTAGCACGGACTCTGGAAATGTGCCTGGCATATGGCAATAGGGTTGCCCCCTATTACATGGGACTCATAACATAAATAGTGAAAAGTGGGTGTTACATCGTACAGTGGCATTAAGCGCCGAAATGTGCACCTCTGCCTACCCCTTCGGGGATAAAAGGCGCGATGTTATGTTATGTTGTTTGTAAATCATCAAATCCGCCTCTAACACTCTTATTACTTTTCTATAATAATATAATACGCGTTTTATAGCTCAGCATCTTTTTAAGGGTTGATTTGCAATCTCCATTTAACACTTACATGGTACATCTTTCTCCTGATTCAGTAAAGACAGGTTGGTAACATCCAGCACAGGGCATAGCGACTTCTGGGTCCAGCATGGCTTTGGGTCCAAACACTAGTGGTCTTTCTGTCAGTACTATGTCTCCTGGATTGAGATCTCGAGATGCAACGAGGTGTCTGCCAACGTCGTCATCTGATGATTGAACCTGAAATTGTGATTAAAGTTAAGGTACTTCAAAGAAACTTTTTATATCTATAAAGGAAAGAGAAAGTATTGGAATCAACTTCAATGTAATTCTGATGAATGTGAAGATGATGACCTCCTATCATATAATACGTTTCATTTTAATGAAGTGAAATAAATTTGTCACTACTAACGCCATCTACTATTCCTAAGAAGCATTCTATGCAGTGACATCTGTGAACGACTCGAGCAATTAAAATACGTGAACTGGTACACTGGGAGCAACCGGGAGTGTCACATTGAAAGTAAGTGGAGATACCGAATGAGGTCGCCACAGTATTCCGTAGACCGAAAAATGTAATTCTAGATAGGTACTCTAAGGAATACTGAATAAAATTATAATAACATCTTTCTTGCTTACCAAATTATACGCCAAAGCACTGTTACCGTTCTCGTGATCCATATTTCTGGAAAGACATAATAAGAAGCTAGTTTATCAGATTTTACAGTAATTGTGTTGCCATATAAATTACAATCGTATTACGATTTTCAAAAAAGTTTCTGTTTTCAAACTTATATCATTTCAAATACTATCCCTACCAGACAACGATCATCAATTTGCATATCACATTAAGAATTGAGTCCACGAATTGAATCTTCAATTTGCATAGTTATTAGTAGCTCTGTCAGATGATCATTTTCTTTGGGCATTGAGCGGACACTACAAATACATAACATAACTTCAACCCTTTTATCCCCGAAGGGGTAGGCAGATGTGCACATTACAGCTCTCTATCCCACTATAATGTAACACCCACTTTTTACTATTTATGTTATGTCTCCCTGTAATAAGGGGTGACCCTATAGCCATATACCGGGATTCCAGACTCCGTGCTACGTATGAGATTTTTTTTAAAACCCAGTAATACTTGATCCGACCCAGGAATCGGACCCGAAACCCCTTGAACGGCAGTTGCACTTGCGACCACTCGGCCAACGAGGCTGTCTAAAACACTAAAAGCCTTAATTTATGGAAGGATTTATAGAAGACCAAATCCTGAAGTATAACCCACCCACACAAATAACACCCGTTAAAAATTCTTAACAAATCAAATCAGATTTCACAATATACAATTTGTTTTCAAATAAACTGCTTCTGGCACCTCTCCAGATTGCACGACATCACTCAAGACATCGTCTTAACAACACAGTTGATGTTCTATTGCACTCATTGCGATGATACTGTTCAGTAATTCAGCACAAGCATTGACTGTCACGTAAATCTATTTTGATTATACAAATAGAATTAACGTAGCATTTGTTTGAGGTGTTGCATTGTCTACTCTGTATTTGTTCGGGCTTTGGTTAGACTTTCTTATCTTTTTCTTTTAATTAGGTTTCAGAAATGTCTATTGTAAAATGGCTTGTGCTGTTTTCAAGGAATGGTCCTTTAGGTACAATGATATTCTTTATGACAATACGATTTTTTATTGTCTAGAAATTTATGTTATCTTTGTCAATCTAAGATGAAACTACAATCATTTTAGGTCACATTGAACTTTTGTTTGCTCTGTCCCTAATGTAATTAATTACATTCTATTTTCGTATTTCATTACACACTACATGTCTTCAGTTTAGTGTTCGGTTGCTTAATGTCGAGGTACATACATAAGTTCGTTTTTCTTTTAGATCCAATTATCATGATCAATTGGAATAGAGAAGAAAAGGTAAGAAGGTAACAAAAAAATATTACCATTTAAGTAATACTAAATAAAAAATATTTTATACTTACATTAATTAACCTACAAAATTCCAAGATATTGTCACTCAAACTTATCACTACAAAACTATCAAATTTAAAACAATAATACTATTGGATGCAATAAAAAAAGCTGCACACGAGTATCTATCACTCGCGGCTCGAAGGACTGAGTAGCTTTCAATCGAGTGACAATAAATAAATCGAACTGCAAGCTGAGAAACTAGTGTTGCTTCATACTGTCACTTGGGCTATTACGAGCATAAACCACTAATTAATTTTTTTATCATTTAGTCAATCCCATTACTTGAGATTATTACTATAACCGGACTAATCTATTTAGTAAAAAGGAAAATAAAATAAAATATTCAATGAAAAATATAAAAATCAATTTAATAACAAATAACGTCAATCAAATCTCCAGATTCTTTTGTTTACACAGCCTTTTAAATTCATGTTTGCTATCTTCAATAACAGATTGTAGTTTTTTTCCTGAAACTTCATCCATGTCATCTTTGAGTGAGTTCAACGCATCTTCAACTGATAGTTTAGCTTCAGTTAGTAAAGGTTTAACCTCGTCATCCTTTACACCATTCTTGAACTTCATGACTAGAGCAGAATGCAGTTCATGTTGTAAGACACTATTGTACAAACTAAGCCTAGCGTTCCCTGGATCCAAGGTCTTAGTCACGGCTATAAGTTCTCTACAAATTTTAATTTTCTTTTCTAAAATCTCCTTCGACGTATAACCAGGTTGCCTTCCATACAATTGTACTAGCGAGTGCTTTATCGTGTACATATGATAATGATTGGGATGTAAAAAGGTTGACAGTCTAAATAGAAGGTTTTCTAAGACAGTTACTGAGCCACCCATCATCAGAACATTTTCAACGTCCTCTCCCATTTGTGATATAACCATATTTATTTGAGAATTGCTAACTTTAGCTGGACATTTGTTACAAGACCAGTCTGTTTCATCATCTAATGGATCTTGTGGTAAATGAATTCCGTCACAAGGGTTGTTCCCATCACCTAAACATCTCATTGCACTTAAGTAAGTACCTAATTCAGTAGGGTCACTACATCTTGGACATTTGCAAGCAAAGAATTTTGTGTCTTTCAAATGCTGTCTTCTAGCTTGAGTTCCCCATAATGCGTGGCTATACATCGTCGATATGTGGTTGTCTTTTACTATTGGTACTACAGCTTTGATAGTTATTTTGTACAAATCTTTTCTATCTTTTGGTGAAAGATTGAAAGTGTGCTTTGTATTAGGAACACAGCTATGTTCCATTTTGTAAGTCTCTGCATATAGAGCATTTAGTTCAGATCCTTGTGGTAAGCGAATTTCTAAAGCATTGGTGTCAATGATTCCACATATTCTATGAAGTAATTCTGCAGTAATTTCATAGGTTTTCTTCTGTGTCTCATCGAGTTTGCTCACGAAGTTGTTCATTAGATATTCGACGATGAATTCATTCGCCTCACTGTAATTGTAAATGGAATCGATTAGACATGTTTCACTTATGGTGTACATTAATAATTTAAATTTCATTAACTTTATAATCATATTGATATACATAGTTTTAAAACAATTCGCTTACTCATAAGCTTCTGTTCCAGGAGTTCGACATTCCATATGCGATTGCATTTCCAGCAAATTCTTCCAACCTTCAGGATCTGTCTTCTGTAGAAGCACACACCTCAATGGAAGCAATGCATCGTGCCTGAAAAGAAGTTACATCTAATTAGAAAAGACAGGTATTGCTTTGTTTATTTTTGGAGAATGATATGCCCTCCAGTTTCTGTTTTTGAAGGTCTAAGTGAGATAAAAATCCCACACTCCCTAGTCTCCCAGTCCAAAAGCAAGACACCTATTAAAGGTTTCATCAAAAAATTTAGTAGATAAGGTACTCTATTTTCATATGGATAAAGACTATTCAAAATAATTACTCCCAGTTCAAAAACAAGACACATATTAAAGGTTTCATCAAAACAGTTACTACATTAGGTACTCTATTTCTATTTGCATAAAGACTATTCAATATAATTACCTATAGTAGTCAGCCATGGCATTGAGTGCACATTCTGATCTCAAGCTGAGAATTTCGCACTCTGCAGCGTGATGTCTTGGATCTTTTAATCCTGGACAGTTGCCTGAGCAGACAGGCCATCCGCATCTGTGGAAAAGTTTATGCATAAATCTTATTTTTCATATCAATGTGAGATGTTTTCTAACAAATTTTCGTGATTTAAATTTAAAAATAGTCTCATCTACATTAATGGATAAGTAAAATCTTGATCAATAAAAATCTACATTGACGTTAACATTAACATTCATGGTAATGTCTTCTTCGAAAAGTTTTAACATGTAATAAAAGATGTAATAATTAAATACTAATAAAAAAATACGATATCAGTTCTTTTAATTGCCTGCTTCAATTAAATAAATAATAATTATTAAAACCTGTACCCCAGCTTTCCTAATGAATTAAAAACTTATCGTGCAAAGATTTTTATAAAAGGATTAAAGATTAAAGATTTTTTTATAAAAGGATTGTAAAAAAATGCTAAATTTAATAACTCACTTAGCACACCGCTCTCCAGCTTCAGTCAACACTGGTTTGTAACAGCCAACGCAAGGCATGACTTCCTCAGGGTCCAGCATGCCTTTAGGACCAAAGACCAGTGGTCTTTCAGTCAGCACCAAGTCTCCTGGAGTAAGGTCCCGTGAGGCGACTAGATATTTTCCAAGTTCTTCAGAAGTGTGAACCTAAAATTGGTTTGTGGGATTATTAGTATTTTTGTTTCGATAATTCAGTTTACAGGCGCCATCTACATATTTTATAAAGGAACTAAAACGTTGTAGATATAGGTATCATAACGCGGCTACTTTGCGTACTAAAGGACCAACGGGAAGCAAAGGGAATATCAAGAAGTTCATAAAAGAGTCAATAGATGTCGTTATACTACATTGTGTTTACTACTTTTTTATAACGACCAGTAACATTAATTTAATCGAGAACTTATAGCCATACAAATATTTTCCGTCAGTATACAATTTATGACGTTCCCCTTTCCATAATTATTATTGTGAGGAATAAAGTCAATGAAATTATTTTTAATAACAAATTACCTGTTAAGAATTACTTACCACGTAAGGCAAATCATTGGCACCGTTTTGTGACTCCATTTTTCTGTAAAATCATACATAATAATTAATCAATTAACATAGATGGGTTTAGTGATAAATTCGTAAAATAATGACTGCGTCATTGACTGAGTGCGACTGCCAGGCAAGGGATCTCGGGTTCGATTCCAGGGTCGGGCAAAGTATTACTGGGTTAGTAGAACGGAGTCTGCAAATGTGTCGGTTATATGGCAATACCCCTTATTGCATGGTACTCATAACAAAAATAGTGAAAAATTCGGTGTTACATTGCATTAAGTGCCCTAATGTGCACCTTTGCCTACCCCTTCGGGGATTAAGGGCATGGTGTGAGAAAAGTTGTTACTATTACATATTACGATACAAATAAATGTTCACTAATCGACTCATTTGTCAATGAAGACAAGTTGGCACTCTTCAGTCCGATCATCTTTAGTTCATCAAATCGATGTCAAGACTGCAATTATTAGGGCATTGGCCTCTATCATTGCCAGCTCTATTTATTTATTAGAAACCAATTATCGTTATTAACTCATTAGGTGTATCAATTGTAATATAGCCTAATTATTATAATTCAAGCTGTGGTTGTTTTCTTTTGTATAACCGGTTATAAAGTCAAAATCATTTATTTTAATTAGACCAGAAAGACACTATTGAACGTCAAAAAAAAATTAAAAGTCAAGCTTTTTTCTCACTCCAAGGTGTAGAATCCTATGGAGAAGAACGAGCAAGAAACTCCATAGGTTACTCTTTTTCAATCAGATTCACAATACTATTCCCTAGTTACAAGGTTTTGTTATTTGGATTGTGCGAGAACAATGTAACACTAAATAAAGTATATGAAAAATATTTAGACAACAAACTCGCTTAGTTTTTGTTTTAATAATTATTATAGCCTGACTTAAGTAATGAAGGACAAACATATAACATAATTTTAAACTATGTGCTATTAATAGGAATTTAGAAGCTAAAACATAAAATTATCTTGTGTATGACACGAATGCAATCCCACTCGCCAGAAGACTGCACTTTCCCAGAATTGGAACCAAAATCTCGAGCATAGTTCTAAATTATAATATCAATATAAAAACTATAGTATAATAACAACATTGATAGGTCCTATAAAAATTCATCATCATTCCTCAAACAATTTCTCTGACACAAAATTTATTTTATATTTCAGACGAACAGCGCTCCGTTTAATATTAACGATTTGTCCAGTAATAAACTTAATAACACAAGATGAAATGAAACCCAGTACAAACGTAAAACATGACGTTCATATAGCTGCAATAAATTTACTCGAACATTTTCTCTGTCCAAACATCCTTACTAATATTATAAATCGGAAAGTGAGTTTGTTTGTTTGTTTGTTTGTTCCGATTTCACGCCGTAACTATTAAACCGATTGCTTTGAATTTTTGCAGACGTAAAGTTAGAGGTCTGGATTAAATAATAGGGTACTTTTTATCCCGGAAAAATTTGATATTCCCGAGGGAAAACAAAAGTATTGGTATAGATGGCGCTGTATGTATTGGTATATGTCACATAGGCTACTTTTTATCCTTTTGTGACGCGAGCGAAGCCGCGGGTAAAAGCTAGTAAATTATATTTGGCAAATGCACCACTTTTCCATGGAGCGAACGTTAAAATGGGTTACTCTCGTCTATTTTTGGCACATATCTGATAAACGTTAGGTTTTCGGAAACATATTTCGCATTCTTTTTAGTTTCTTCTACTTTTTTCTAACATTATAACATTTATCTTTAAGAAGAATAATATTAATATGTGTGTGTGGAGTATCACTCACAACACACAAGGCTCACACTATTGCCATTTTTTCCACGAGTGATATAAACCTTGCTATGCTGATCATAGGACATATTTTGTTACAAACCGGTCATGAACATTCTCTGAGAACTTTTTAAACTAGGATTTTTACCCTACCTACCAAACGTGGATATTGACAGATTCTATTATGTAGATAGAGGCTCATAGTTCAGTAATGGACTGTTGATGATGAAAAATAATATTTATGTCATATTCAAGCGGTTGTTACTTTTACAGAATCATTTCACACTATGTTTGCTTTTTCTATGTTAAAATCTAGGTCAGCATGTTGTTCTAATTTCTCGTTTGTATTATTGTGACTGGTTTCAACACAAATTCCGTTCAGTGGAACTCTAATAAACCATAGTTCGATTTAGTTTAGTTTCACATAAATATTTTGATTCAACTCAGACTCAGACCTCGTCTATGTTTGTCTCATCTGTTTGTATAATTGTGATTACATTGGTGAAGATACATATTTCTTCTGAAGGCAACTGAATACCCCAAAACATAATCATCAGTAACCAAAATTGTCCACTGTTGATATAGGTTTGCCCTAATCCCCGAGCTTGTCAGGCGGTATGGGGATCGACATTGTCCGATCAGTTAAACCCTAATAGGTATTGGAAATGTGAGCGTTATTAGGTTTCATTTATTGTCTCGCAGATATATTTTGCAAATCAAATAATCAAATTACATCAAAACCATTGTTCTCAATCGGTGGAAATACAATTGCTTATAGTTTCTATTTCGGTGCAAGCCCTCTGTATGATGATGACGTCACATTGGCAGTAAATCGAGAAGACCTAGACACGAATCTGATGCCTTGTAATTTATATTCTAGATCTTAATCTCATTTTCATGCATAATTTCAGTATTAGCTAATGCTTTATAATTATCTTACTGATAATATACTTACTGACTATAATTATATTACTTTATACCTAACGTTTTTTCTCAATCTCTGATCAAATTTAGAATTTCTATCATCTTACGCTCGTCTTAGGCAATTTGGAAACAAAATATATTTTATCTATATGGTGTGAATCTAAATTGAACGAACTATACCAGCTAAATTATTTTCCAGCCCTATTAAATAGAATAAAATTATCATACTCACAGTTTATCACTCATATTTAGAAAATAATATTTCCGAAAATCACTTAAGTCACAAAAAATTTTTTTCACGTTGTTCACTTTTTTCCTTAAAACTGGAAAACTTATACCTAACAGGCAATGCTGCGCACGGGCAACTGGCGTCCGTTCTATGTATGACTGACTATAGCTTTTCATTGCGTAACACACGGATATGTGAATGAACTAAAAAAAACATTCCACGATTTTTGTTAAAACATTATAGTGAGCATTATCTTGATTTGTGCGACTTTTTAAGACGATTTGCAGTAATTTTCGCTGTAGCATTAGAAGAATAATCGCGTCGTTTAAACGTTTGTTGTAATTTGATCTTTTTTAGTGAATAAATTAGTGTTATTATTCTAATTTGTAAAGACGTCGTCGAATTTTGTTTTAGGGACCATACTTTGTCGAGATATTCCATATAGAAAACGCCTATAATATTGGAAATATACTGACTTATACCATTATAGAATATGAAATAGTAAAACAGTTTTTAAATACGTAACGAATTTGTTTCACTGCGTAATAAAATAAATTGTACGACACCGATCGCATTTGAGATACAATAATTAATTTCTCTAAACTTCCATCCATTGTTCTGCTTAAAAACTGTTATTGCAAAAAGTTGTCTTTATTTTTTTTAAAGATCACTTTCCAAATTGAAAGGCTTATCATGATATTTTTCTTATACACTTCCCATGCTTCTCATTAGACGATTCACTAACTAGTAAAATGTTAAGCGACATAGCGTAAGAGAAAAGCTAAAAGACAGAGTGAAATGTAATGTAATAAATATAATGCACATAAATTAACTTACTACAGCTTTTAGATATTTCAAGACGAATCACAAAAACCATCACAGGATTGTTTTTCACATGTTTCTCGTGTCTCACACATTTTTACACCACGTACTCGTTTCCACTATTCGAATTTGATATTTTTTTTTATTTATTTTAATTTATTTTCACCCATGCTCCTAATATTACTTACAGTTTTGTATCCGTCAGATGGCCTGCATGCTATGAAACCAATAGCTGTAATGCCAAATTTTCTGTTCCACACCATAACAGCTGTTTCTCATCTCAGCATGTTCTAAGACTTGTTGTACACGTTCGTTTATATTTTTTTATTAGGTTTAAGATTTTTTGTGATAATATTATAAAAATTACGTTTTTAAAAAAAATGGAAATGTCGATATAATATCGAATTTACAGTAGAAATTCTAAGTCTTTTTAAAATAAGTTTTTTTAAATAAATAAAAACTATAAATATATTATCATGGGTCCTAGAATACGATACCAAGTAATACTTTACTTGGTAATCTCTGCTGCTCTGCTGTAATTCTAAACGGCGTTGCATTATAATTTATATTAGTTTACTTGAATTACAGAGATTAAGGCTATTAATAAGTTTCCCATAATTCTTTTATTTTAAGTACATGCAAACGGACTTAATATTAATCTTTAATGATACTTATCGAAAGAATGTCTAAATCAGATTTTGAACTTTTATTCACTCATTTATAACGAATTCATTTTGAAATCTGTTCAAAAACAATAAGAAAAAAAGTCATCAATCAAAAAAGTTAATAAAAGAAAACATTGACAGCCAGAAAGCCGAAAAAACTATTGTGACCTACCTGTCTGTTACGATTAGGTGTGCGTAAAACTATAGTTTTAAGCCAAAATAAATTGAAATAACTAAATTAAAGTAAAACATTTACTATAACAGTACAGCTAAAATAAACAAAACGGAATATACATAGAAAGCAGATTAAACTCAAAAAGTGACAGTATACTATGAATTTATAAAAATTATAATTACTATTCAAAGAGCAGCCGTATGTTCTACAATAGCATTAATACTCAACTCTGTTGGCACTGTTCCCGAATCTTTACAGTCTTGTTAATTATGCGTGTCTATTTAGAACGAGTATTGTGTTTGATAGCAAGGCGAGCGGGCGTGCATCGTGGCCTAGTCAGCAGTGCCTTAATAATTCCCGTGATGCCGACTTGTGAGGTGTGCCAACAACCCGCGAACCAGATCTGTGGAGGATGCAAACTGGTATATTACTGCTCCAGACCGCACCAAAAACTAGGATGGAGAGAAGGTCACAAATTCAAATGCTGCGCCTTCAAGATCCAGTACTCAGACACATTAGGACGACACATGGTCGCCACAAGAGACATACAACAAGGAGAAATGATCCTCAGAGAGAAACCTGCCATCATTGGGCCAAGGATCTCATGTCCAACTATCTGTTTGTCATGCGGCAAAAATCTGGACCCCCAAGAAATTAATAGCAACTGGGATTATTATAAATGTTCAAAGTGCAACTGGCCGATGTGTGGCCCGGAGTGCGAAGCTGCTGATGTTCACAAACCGGAGTGCAAAGCCATGACTGACAGGAAATATAAATGTGATATAAAATACCAAGGCCCTAATAAAATCCAAGCGGCCTACTGTGTTATTTCGCCTCTCAGAGTGCTATTGATGAGTACGTCTAACCCACTTCAATATGAAAATTTAATGAATCTCGAATCCCATTTGGAAGACAGGATAAACACCCCTCTGTATACAGTCTTAAAGGCTAATTTGGTGACGTTCATAGTTCAAGTGCTTGGATTGCCTTTCGATGAAGAAACAATATTGAAGGTCGCGTCTATATTTGATACAAATGCTTTCGATGTAAGATCACCGGATGGGTCTACTAGACTGCGGGCTATTTATTTGACAGCTTCGATGATGGACCATAGCTGTAAAGCTAATACGAGGCACATATTTATAGGTGAAGATTACCATATGGCTATGATAGCGACGGTGCCGATATCTAAAGGAGAACTGATAACGACGACGTACACTCAGAGTTTGTGGGGAACATTGGATAGACGGAAGCATTTGCAGACAAACAAGTACTTCGATTGTGAATGTGACAGATGCAAGGATCCTACAGAATTCGGTACACATTTGGGGAACATTTACTGTTCTGTATGTAACAGTGCTTTCGCTCCGAACGTTGAAGGGCGTGGTGCAATGTTGGTGTCAACAAATCCGTTGAATGAAACCGCGTCATGGAAATGTGAGAAATGCGAACATTTTATTTTGAGCAAACAGATGGTGTGGGGAAATAACGCATTGAAACAAGATCTTCAGAGACTGAATAAGACGGATCCGAATCAGTTCGAAGAGTTCATTGAGAAGTACAGCCAGACGTTACATCCTAGCAACCATTTAGTAGTGCAAGCCAAGTTGGCATTGGTACAAATATATGGGAACTATAAAGGATATAGCTTGACAGGTATAGTGTTTGTTGTTAAAATAGATTCAGAGAATAACGTTTATTTATAATGCGTGTTGTTAACCCCTATTAGAATGGATTGGTTTTAAATCATTAGACTAACAACATACAAGATCTCACACACGGTTTTAAAGATTTTATCAACAATGTAAGAAGCCACAAAACACTAGCTATACATTATTTCTCATAGTTAATTTACCAATAGTTATTATTTTTTCCTTTTTTTTAATAACGTTACTCATACTAGGATTTTCTCCTATGTCGTGGGTGTGTTTACAAATAAACAATATCACATACACATGACACTCAGACCCGAAACAAAAATTTGTGGATCACACAAAGAGTGGCTCCTTGCGTGCTACACGTTGCGCGGCAGCCGGTTGCCCAGCCACCGCGCCAACCGTACAGTCGAAAGTTAGTTTAATTGTTTCTGTCAGTCATTCATGTTTATTTCTTTAATACTCTATAACTTATACTTTCTTGTGAATTGCTGGTGTGACAGGATATTTAATGATTGCATTGAAAAAATTTTACTAAAATACTTAACACACATGTTGACAACGCAGTCTGTGACAGTTGTTGACCTTAATAATGTAATCCAAAGATGGGGCCATCACTTATGATGTTCATACATGTAACAGTTTACTAACCTACATAATGTAAGTACCTATGTAGGTTTTTTTTTATATTTGATGGGCCGACGTTTTTCATTATCTCGCCTGGTGGTAAGCGATGATACGGTCTATGATGGAGCACGTCGTCCCATAAGCAACCTATTCACTCTGGCCTTGAAGACTCCCACTCCGGCAAAGAATTCCACTGTTTAGCAGTACGCGTATGGGTGGGACATCTACCACGAATCGGTGACGCCTCACCGATTGTCTTGTGGTCCGATGATGGAAATGACTAAGAGGAATTAAGTTGTGCAATTCCCCCGCACACTCACAGAAATGTATCCAGTAGAAAACCGAAAGGCTTGCAACCTTACGCCTGTGTTCGATGTAAACTAATGTAGGTAGGTACAATATATTCACCAGTATACTGACTGGAGAATGTATGGGAAGATGAAAGCGAGACATAGTACTCTGTTTTTGTATAGGTCGATGTGCAGTGGGTACTTATACTATACTCAGTTTAATTGGAACATTGACAAGAATGTTGATTCTGAAAGCCATGTCGGATTTATTCGTACATGAACTAATGCTATATGTTTAATCAGTGAAATTATAATTAATACGTTGACCTTGTCGTCAAGTCGGGCAAATATTCAGTAAACAATTTTAAAGTTGAAAAATGTGACGACGTTATATTTTGTAGTTAAAAAAAAATTGATATTTTCTTTTTGTAATAGGGATGATGACAGGGTATGAAATTTAAAAATCTAATTAGACCGTAAGTTAGGTAATGAAAAAATATAACACACGTATTTTTTTATTTTGTCGTATAATAAAACAATATTTAGATAAAACGAATCAAAGTTTAGGAGTGTGGGCTAAAACGTCATTTCTACGTATAAAATGTACATAGTAGTGACGTCACGCGACATTTCAAATCAATATATCGTCGAAAGTAATTCGTTTCTGTAAGAAAATAAAAAATACGTGTCTAATGATTTAAAACAATCTACCAAACGGACATTAAAATAAAAATTAGGCATCTAACCTATTGTGACATGATGTCATCTTGATTAAGAACAACTTTATGTTTTTTATTGTCATCCAATCATTATTGAATAATAAATACAGACTAAAAGTTTCACATTACCGAAAGAAAGATACCATCTACCACATAATAATAAAATTGTAGAACTATTTTTCTCCTATATTGTAGGTGCACAACAATTCAAACACATACTTCCTCATATCCATGACACTAAATTATGTGGATAGCTCAAAGACATGATCTAAATTAATCTGTATTTTTACAGAACTACCAAATGCACTGCTCAGAAGAAAGGTAGACCTCTGCCACGAGCTGCTGGAGATAGCTGATAAACTAGAACCTGGCTGGACTAAGTTCAGAGGGACCTTACTTTTAGAACTTCAATCCGCTATGACTATGAAGACTAAGAGAGAATTTGAAACTGGAAAACTGACTAAGGCTGCTGCTCAGGTAGGATAAGTGTTATAGTAAAATGCATTTTAATTTAGGAGGCCCAATTCCCCTCCCCTCCCCCATTCTCCCCAATCCCTGAATCCCCAACGATCCTCAAAGCCGGTAACGCACTTGTAACGCCTCTGGTGTTCCAGGTGTCCATGGGCGACGCCGATTGCTTACCATCAGGTGATCCGTCTGCTCGTTTACCGGCTTATGCCATAAAAAAACCTAATTTTGTTTAGGTAGATTTTTCTACACCGTGAAATCTATGTCGTTTTCGTCCCTCACCAAAGCACCTTGCTATAAGGAGTGGGTTACACATCAACAGCCCATAAATGCCCACTGCTGAGCAAAGCCTCTTCTCAAATGGAGAAGGTTTGAGCATTAATCACCACGCTTGCTCAATGCTGGTTGGCGATTACAAACTTATAATTAGAAATTATAAGCCCAGGTTTCCTCACGATATTTTCCTTTACCGCTTGTCAGTGGTGTCTGAATAATCTTATAAAGTACATATAACTCGGAAAAAGTCACATTGGTACTTGCCGTTAGTAGGTTTCGGGCCCGCACCCTCATGCATGAGAAGCGGGCGGCTTAAACCTCCGGGCCACCACAACATTAAATTAAATTAAAGGACTGGGTTAATTAGCCATTAAATGACTCTGATTACGGCGGTTAGATAAGATTTTTACACTGACAGCACATCTTTATAGGCAAAGCTGTGGTCAAATGCAAGTAGAAAATAATAATAACAACCTAAATTCTATCTTGCAATACATTTGATACGATTTGGATTATAGCCAAATAAAATAACTGTTCGTCCGATGACAACATGTCCTATATATTACAGCACTGATGATAAAAATGATATTATCATTTTGAATCAAGCTGACATTTGCTCGTTTCGATTGCAAATGTTTTGTTGTTGAAATCTACTGCAATATTGCTTCAGAGAATTTAATAAAGTGGGTTTATTGCATGAAGTGAAATTATTTGAACATTATTTTGTCGTAAAATTAGGATTATGTGTCCTGTACTAGATGTTAAAGTTTTGTTATGTGTTTAGAGTAATTTATTTAATTTTGTTTGATATGAGTTTCTTCTTTTGCTTGTTAATAGAATGACTGTTTTTATACAAGTTAATCAATGGTTATCCATTCCAATTCTGAGAACCAATTGAATAGTTTACGTGGCGTTGTCTTACTGGTCGTTGGAATCTTTTTTTTTAATTTTTGAAGAATTCTAATAATTTCTTATTTTATTTACGGATAACCGTTATTTAAGTTAACACCTTATAAAAGTACATTCCATCGCCATTTTTTTTTGGTTAAAGACACGTCCTTCTTAATTTGTGTAATCGATTAATTTTAAACAATTTCAGAGCAAAAATTGATGCAGTACTAAGAATAAAAATTGGTTGTTTCCAGGATGAGCTGATGGAAAGCTTGGTGCTGCTCCAGGAGGCAACCAATATATTAAAGGTAGAATCACACATGAAGACCACTCTCGAATCAAAGATCAGCGAACTGACCTCCCTCTTAGACACCACTGCAGCTGAAACTTAGACATTTAACTCACTTGGTACTAAATACTTCTTATATATTAAAGGTTTGGAAGTGTGTATTGAAAATTATGTTATGATATGTCAATGTGTGTTGAATAATATGTCCTATATGTATGATTAAGTGAGTTGGTTTTTGATGTTTAATAAAATATTTACAATCTTTTTTGCAGATAATTATTACTTTTAGAGGAGTAACCTAGATAGATTATTGTGAAGTAAAATAATTAACACAAAATTTTGAGATTAAATGTTGTTATATTGTTTTTCGTCATAATTATTGTCATAGTCATAACATAGTATTCTACTTTATCACAAGACGGCACCACATTAATACAGGTAGTAATTGCAATTCTAAATTAAATAAATCTATCGATGGCGTTAATTCTTCAAATACTATCTAGCAAGTCTATTTCTACATTTCTATAGCTATCTAAATCATATTATATAGTCTAAATGCCACAGTAAATTAGAAAAATAGGTAGAATCTTCTTCACCGTGAAATCTATCGTTTTGGTCCCGAAGTAAAATGGTAATACAAAAGCATTACAAATAAATAAAATATTTGAAACAAAAAATTACTGGTGAACCATTGTAAAAAGCAAACTTCGAAAGCGCATATGAACTCATAGTACATCAAAACATCAAGCCATGTAATTCTGCAAGGGGTATTTCTCGTCGGGTGGCACGTTAGCACGTATGATGCCAATAGTGCCTACAAATTTATGTGTAGTGTTTCATGTGCGTGGTGCCGTAGTTTCATGGATTTTTTTAATGTAAAAAATGACATCGTTAGTTTTTTTTTATTTTTACTTTATAATAGGTACATCGGAAGCACTTCTTATGACAAGTTATTTTGCCGCGGGACGCAAAAGAAATAAATTTCACAGTGTATTATATTTTGCCATTGTCAAGAACTGGTTCAGTTTTTACAGGCGTTATTTTTGTAGGTTTTGTGGTAACTTCATCAACTTTGATGCTGAATTCCAAAGTATCTTTCTTTATGTGCAGAATATTCTTAATCGCTTTCGAAATCTTCTTGTGCGGTTTCGGGGAATGTGCGATGACAAAAATCTTCTCCGTATTCTTCTCTTGACCTTGATCATGTTTCTTGGCAGGCTGGAATTGAATTAATAATTTTATGAAATATTTTACGAACTTATTATGTCTAATTATCCTATTGGCTATTATAATTCTACTGTGAGTAATTTGGCATAAAAACTTTGAAGGAACTTATAATAAAACTCGTAGAATAACGCAAAAAAACATCTTCGAAGGCAGGTAAAAGGACTGAACAAATAATGATACATACAAGATCTTAATCGAATGTTGAAGAATTAATAATATCATGCGTAAAATGTTAGTCCAAACACTTTGGAATAAATCCTAAACTATTAAAAAATAAGTCTTCTTTAACAAGATAATACGGTTGGCGAGGTAACTGGTCTGGTAACTGGCTGCCGCACAATGTATCGGTGTCGCCGCACAGGTTTGATTCCCACACGGAACAACTCTTTGTGTGATCCACGAATTGTTGTTCCGGGTCTGGGTGTAATGTGTATGTAAACTTGTATGTTTGTAAACGCACGCATGACACAGGACAAAATCTTGGTATGGGGCAAGGTCAAGTCATATTACAATTTTACGCAAATTATCTAGTAAGCATGATTCTTCACTAGATGGGGTAAAAACCAAAACATCAATTTTATTTATATCTTTTACTAGGAAAATGTAAACAAACTCATTGATGGCTTTCAACGTACCTAAATTATTATCTACTAAAGTATACCTTATCTACAGAGTACATGGACGATTAAATCAAGATATTGTCTACAAGCACTCAAACTGACCAACTATTATGTTTTGTCTGACTATGTAGATTTTTTTATGGAATAGGAGGCAAACTAGCACACGGATCACCTGGTGGTAAGCGATCAGCGCCGCCCAATGACATCCGCAACACCAGAGGAGTCATAGGTGCGTTGCCGGAATTTTAAAAAGGAATACGATCTATTGTTGATAATTTCTTGAAGGTAGATGCAGATCGAGATACTCTAATCTATCTTTCTTTTACAAATTCAATAAACAAAGCCATATATAGAAAATTTACAATAGAAATGTACACACAAGGTAAATGTTACAAAAAGCCACAGTAAAAATAGAACCTCGTAAAACAAAACTATAAGCCAGCAAACAAAGCGAACTACGAAAGTCTAAGAGACTTTACGCACATGATCACGGACAGACTTAAGAACGAGCTGATGATTATAGTGAAGTTATACTAACCACATCACACAAACAACACCAGGATCCAAACTTGAAGCAAGCAACGCCAGGAGTCCTGTCCATAGCTTTCCTGAACCTCGCATTAGTGAATCCGTAGATAAGAGGATTGATAGCACAGTTCAAGTACAGAAGGTAGTTAGACGCAAACCACATAATCTGGAAACCACCATCAGCCTGAAAAAGAAACTATGTACTAGAACCAAATCTACTTTAGTCATAATGAAACATAATAATTTAACATAATTTCACGCCTTTTATCCCCGGAGGGTTTTTTTTTAAGGAAAATCATCGAATGACTGCTCCCGCCTGGGTGAGGCGGGAGGGAGTGTCAGACTCTTACTGACTAAAAACCACCCCGTTCCTTCTCCTGCACGTCGAGCCGGAGCCCCGGTTACCCGTTAGGTTCTCCGCGACAACCTCGGAGGGTTAGGCAGAGGTGCATATTACAGCACTTAGTGCCACTTTATAATGTAACAACCACTTTCCACTATTTTACGTTATGAGTTCCATGTAATAAGGGGTGAGCTTATTGCCATATACCGGGCTCATCTCCAGACTCCGTGCTACTACTAAGATTTTTTGAAAAAAAAAACATTTCAGTATTAATTTGCCTGACCTGGGAATCGAACCCGAGACTCCTTGCCCGGCAGTCGCACTTGCGACTTTATTACAAATTAAAATCTTCTCAGACATTAGGGATATGCTCAAAAAGGGAAAGCCACCGAGTAATCCCCCTCTCCCACCACCACTTGTTTTAAAAGGCCTACAACGCATTTGTAACTTTATAAGTGTCCAAGGACAGCTCTGATTACTTACCATCATAATAATAAGTCGAATCGTTTGCGCCCTTTATCTCTTAAAAAAACGTTAAAAATTTCCTTTGCGCAACTTACCGAATTGACTTCGTTAGGTAAATTGTTTCTCCAATAGATGAAGGCAGTGAATGGCATCCTACAGATCAAGCTGGTTAGGAGAACACAGGCAGTAATCCTTAAAGTTCTGGTTCTGGCTCTGGCAATGGACTGGCCTCCACCACGAGAAGCGAGCTCACGGACACTCCACTCCAGACGCCACATTATTATAGCGTACTATTGAACAGAGATTTCAAAATAACAATCATTTCAAAATGTTAATTGTTTAGTTACTTGTCAGTTAGTTAATGTTTCAAATTACATAATATCATTGTATAGGATTTTTTTTAAGGTGAATATCATCTAATTACTGCTCCCGCCTGGATGAGGCGGAAGGGAGTGTCAGACTCTTACTGACTAAAAACCACCCCGTTCCTTCTCCTGCACATCGAGCTGGAGCCCCGGCAACCCGTTAGGTTCTCCGCGACATCATTGTATAGATATATAATAGGTTTAGCTATTGACTTTTTCAAAGTTGGTGTTATACTGTAAACCAAAACTTTTTTACAGGAGTAGCACTATGCAAGTACAGTACGCACACATTTTAGAGATATTGCTTTCTATTAAAATATAACATTATGAGCTAATGATGAGACCAATAAATCTAAAATTGATATCTGATAAACTATGAAAGCTAGGTGGAGTGACGACAGTGATTGCATGAGAAGAGCTAAAGACCGAGCTCAGTGGCGTGCCATTGGAGAAGCCTATGTCCAGCATTGGATGAACACAGGCTGATGATGATGATGATGATGATGATGAAACTATGAAAATTATTATATTGACCATGATAATATACATCATAAGATAATCTAACAAGACTTACAGTTACAACCATTACGCCAAGAGGTACCCAAACTAGCAACATAAGTAGAAAGTGCCAGTAAATGCCAAGGACCTTGGAATCTTCTATACAGAACATCTCCACATAGTTCTTCCATTGCCGTTCCTAAAGGACAAGTACATTTATTACTATTTGTCATAATTTTAATCTTAATACTATAACCTAATTTTACTGTTCACATTATTTTACAAAAAGACTATGAACATAACAATACATATAAAATTCAAAAGTGCCTTGCTGGTCTAATTGAAATAAATGATTTGGACTTTGACTTTGAATAACATTGTTAGTGCTTTATAATTATTCGAAACTTTAAAAACTTACCACAAATTCTCTTTTCACTGCCCATGGTAATGAAACTATCATGGACATAATCCATGACGCTACTATTAAATAGGGAGCGACTTTGATAGTCACTCGAGTATCAGCCGCAAGCGCTGCAGCTGCTAAACGGTCATACGACACTAGCAAGACTGCGCAAACACCCGCCAATAAGAAGGAAGCTGAAAAAGAAAGTATAAATTTAGTCATCTTTTAGTCAACAATATAAATTTGTAATAATAAATTGTACTTTCTGACATTATACTTAAAACCAATTTTGAGTCTATCTATTTATTTTAGCCATGTTCGTCCCACTGCAGGGTAAAGGCCCCCCTACCCTCCTTCCACTCATTTTTCCTTGTATATTTCTGTGGTCAATCCTTTTCATAAGTGTCAGCTCAACCCCGCCATCTCCTTCTGGGCCCACCACGACGTCTATTGACGTTGAGTGGGCTCCACTCAGTAGTGAATTTTGCCCACCGCTCGTTGGACATCTGTCACTCATGACCAACCCAGTTCTACTTTTAGTTTACGGCTTTATGACCATCATCAGCGATTAGAGTTTTGATACTACCTAAGCATTTGTTTCAGATATTTTATGATTTTAACTAAAGAATAAAACAACGTTCTTTGTGACTTGCGCATTGTAGTTACTACGGTCCAAGGATAAAGGAGTGAGTTTCTGTATTTTCTGTATATGTTCTAATAAAAGTACTACATATTATACGAACCTTGTAAAAATCCTTCAAAGCGACAACCAAAATTCCTCAAAACGTACTGCTGATAGAAATCCCTGACGAGCATAAACCAGGGGCAGATGAGAAGTGTTAAAAGATCAATTAGTGCCAAGTTCCCAACCAAATAATTACTGGCAGTCCATAGCCATTTATTTCTGAACAATATGATCAAGATAATGGAATTTAGGAAGATTCCGGTAATACCGATAATCAACATGGCCGATGACTTCAAAACTATTTCGACTGGTGGTTTCACGTGCCATAATGTGTTCGGGAAATTATGCTGTGATGTGTCTAGCTAAAATTAAAACAAAAACAATACGACAATGAATTAATCCTGTTTTATTAGTTGGTGCTCTTTATCTTATCTTTTTGTCTGGATGGGATTGATTTAATTAAACAAACTGGATATGTACTGGAATATTCCTATTGGTGTCTGCTGCAAATACACACATTGTATGTATCAATATAGCTAATGATATTACGCATGTGTCAGAAATCAATATATATGTAGATAATAATCTATATGGATATTGACTTCTTAATTACACCTTTATCTCCAATTGAACAGATTTTTTATACAAGTGTGTTTGTTTATTCCACATAGCTTGTCAATTTAACTCGTCGAGTACCGTATTTATAGACACAATTAAAGAACAATTTAGGTTGTGGTCACCGGTGACTGCTTGGTGTTTGACAGTTTAAAAAGGTATTAAAATAATTTATAATATTTAAGGTACAGTAGCTTATCCTAAAACAAAAAGCAAAAATATAGGCATTACAGTACAAAAAAGATTTAACTTTGTTGTAATGTGATGCAATAGAAAGGTTAAGTAGACATGGATTGGTAGAAGATAATCTAATATATAATAAGTTACTTTAAGATATTATTCCTAGTTTCATACTTTGTACACAATCTTCTGTAATGAAGTCACTTGAAAAACTGTTACTACCATTTTCGATTTCAATACTCTCAACAATAACAAAGCATGATTTTCGATATACTTTTCTGTGTTTACTTTTACAGCAAAAAATAGAAGAGACTTACCTGTTCTAAATAATCCTCAGACCAATTAGACACAAACCTAGAATCCAAGTCATCGAAATCTGATTCATCCATTTCTATTGTTTTAATTTCATTAGGCTTATCAATTTATTCAATAAATAAACCATCCACATGTAATTTATCTGTAATGACTTCTATAACTTTTATATCTTTGATCAAAACACTATCAACTTTAGTCTCGTCAGTACTTTCTAAATTATTTTCTATATCACGAAATTTCACTGTTTCACCAAAAATATGTGCTGTTCCTTGTACACATTGTTACTGAATATTCATAAACAGTCGATGCAAGATACTCGAGATAACATTGGTTTAAGGTAGTCCATTACCTTAAAAGCTTTTTTATCAAAAATATGATTGATAGGAACGCACTGGACTCTAAGTGACAACGATGGTTTTTTTTCATAATTTGCTGTTAATATCAATTTTTGGCTAATTCTGATAAAACGCTATTAGGGGTAAAGTATGTACATGAGAATCGAGAAGAAGTAAGATAATCTAGATGAATTTTTAACTGCATTCTTTATATTTGACTTGTTTTGAATATTTACTGTCTGGCGACGGCTAATTAAAATGTATTTTTTACCACTCTTCGTCTTACTAAGGGGACTGTAAGTAACAACTAAGAGACAGGATTTGACAGCAAACAATGTAGCAATTGAAATGCTTATTCTATATATATCTATACTATATATCTATTCCTATTTGATAAAATATAGAAAAATATAAAAGATTTTAACGTGACTCCATTAAAAACCACTGATGAATTATTAAACTGACTCTATATAAATAAAGTTAACTTCCATCGCCATCTGTCGAATTTTATCCAAAACTAAGACGGGCCTTACGTACAAGTTGGTTTATTTCCAAGTAGTAGACTAGAATTGGGGTCGTTTACCGAGCGTATAAATAGTCACAGTACCGGGCGACAGATGTCGTTTTATTCAATTTGAGGAGAGGACGCTTTTCTTTTCATATTCTTTCATTAGGAAATTATATTTTCTTTAATAATTATTACTAAGTGGCCAAATATTACCTCACTATCTATTACGCTGGCTTTGACTGGCTAAAACTTTTGCTGATGACCTAATTCTCTGATAAAAAATTGCACTGACTTAAAAAATCTTAATATTTAGGATCAAAGTTAATAAGCAAGGTGCTATTATTATTATTGGTTTTGAAATTTTTCATATGCTAAATTACTTTCCAACACCAAATCAAGTAGAAGGTGGTTCACGGCTTCAGTAATAATAAAAAACGTACAACATCGGCCAGCATTAGGTACTGCTCTAGTTGTGATCGGATATTCAAAACTAAATTCGGTCTGGCCAGTCACATAAGATCACACGACAAGAAATAGCTATTAAAGGGTCGCCGTTACCGAAATCGGTAGGGAGGATTTTTTTAATGGGACAAGCCCGCCATAACCTTCCAAAACCGCTGCAACTCCTGTAAGCCAGGATCTTCAGAAGATACAACCATGAAAACCCCACACTATTATTGGAAGCAAGTATAACAGCTCACACAGAGGACCCACTTAGATTTTAGTCAAATTTCCGTGGTGCTTAGCGACTTAGCTTCACCCAGTTGTACAGTCTCTTATTTGTGCCTTTAGGCTTAATTCATTCTGTCTCCTGCGGTGATTCACCGAGGGAAGTGGAAACTATCGGTAGGAAGGATTATTTTATTTATTTATTTATATATGCTTTATTGTACACATTTAAGTAGCTTAAAACAAACAATTCAAGTAAATATGCGTGCAATGGGCGGTCTTATCACACAATGGTGATTTCTTCCAGACAACCTTTGGATGGAAATATTTATAAGAAACATTAAGAAGATTATATACATATAATAACAAAAAACGACCACTATAGTAGTAGTTAATATGTGTATTCATATAAACATCTATTCCACAACCATTTTATACCCATAATCAGTACCTACATCATATGCCAAGTATCATGCAGCGGTAAGCGCATTTTAATGTATTCCAAAAAATTCATTGTTATACAGTTTCACATGAACAAATGCGATTTTGATGTGTGGCATTGAGATCCTAAGATAGGTGTGAATGTCACTTTACTAAGACTTATCTCGTTACATGATTGTTTTAGAACAAAAAATGTGTAATGGACACTTGAGTGTCGGTAAATTGTGTGTGGTTTTGAATTCGTGTCATTGAGGTGTGTGAAGAGGTTTTATAGAGAAGAATAAGTTTAATATTGACAACATACCTATTACAGTCACTGTTGTTTGATTAAAATTTCATTTCAGAATGCACAAATTTAATAATTACCTATGAGTTCAATCATTAAGAAGGAAATAATATGGGGGTTGCCTGACATGTTTTTTTTGTGTGCTTTTTTTTCATTTTGCACTCTCTTACGTGCGCCGCTTGCGCCGCCATCTTGGAGAAATGCTACTACTAATATTTTTTTAAAAAACTCCGTAATACTTTGCCCGATCCGGGAATCTAACCCAAGACAGGGTTGAGATTTTATCTGTTAATGTTACAATATTTTAGGCCACTTTCAATATTCAAAAAGTTAAGATGTCGTTAGTATCTTTTTCCGTTTTAAGGTAGTGTTTAAGCAGAAATTTGACCATGATCACTAATTTTATAATAGACAATCACACTTGTGGTTAAATGCCCTCAAGACAGTATGTTTATCTATGTGGATTCTATATGAATTACCATCAAGATAGCTAATAATTTATCTCTATGCCTACTTATATCCCGAGCGTACTCAAAGAGCCATCAGACCACCACGGATGAGACCCAATAGGGCTGATGCTGATATAGAGCCGCGGAGGACTTAACGGTTTGCCGGAACTTCGGCTTGAAGTGCAGGAGTAGGAACGGGGTGGTTTTTAGTCAGTAAGAGTCTGACACTTCCTCTCACCTCACCCAAGCGATAGCAGTCATTGGTTAATCCCCCCCCCCCCCCTCTCAAAAAGGCCCCCAAGACAATAATATGTTTGTTTATGTTGAGTTTTTCTAACATTAGCATCAAGATAGCTAATCATTTATGTCTATACCTAATAGTTGTAAAACGTTATGTCCTCAACCTCAGAATAAGATAATGTTCAGCAATTTTGTGTATGTAATGCATCCTTATATCATTGCTTTGTGATCTAAATGCCAAGTAAATTGTGTTGAAATAGTGAGATCTCTATTGTTATTGTTTTTTGTTGCCTTGCCTCGTTGGTCGAGTAGCCATAATTTGGCTAAGCATCATGCAGTGATTTTATAGGAACATGGAGTTCAGTATTGTAATCGTTCACGATTGGTTACAGAATTGTCATACTTTAAGGGACGTAAAACAAAACTGGTAAAGGTAAATGCTCAAAACTACATTAGCTGCGTCCACCTATCCTAGTAGCATTTTGAGGCCTATGTTATCAAAGGATCAAAGGAATCTTATACACTTTATTATCTCCTTTTTATAAAACAGCAACTGGCCGCTCACTATTTTTATATTCTGTGTGTTTACAAACATACAATTGCACATGCTACCCAGCATCAAACTTTATTGTATCGGCTATTGCCCAACGAGTGGATGTTGACACAGAAATTGTTCCAATTATTTATTATTTATTTAATAATAAAGGTACATGATATGCCTTACAATCTAACGCCATGTCCAACAAAACTATATATAAATAGTTTTAGTTTCCTGACCTGGGTGTTCTGTATAATGTCAATTTGCATGTTTATAAATGCACACCCAACTCAATAGAAATCCTAGTGTGATCCAACATAAAAAAAAACAACAAACTTGCTCCTACATCACAATCCTTACTATATTATAAATATTATAAATCGGAAAGTGAGTTTGTTTGTTTGTTTGTTTGTTCCGATTTCACGCCATAACTACTAAACCGATTGCATTGAATTTTTGCAGACGTAAAGTTAGTAGTCTGGATTAAATAATAGGGTATTTTTTAACCCGAAAAAATTTGATATTCCCGAGGGAAAACAAAAGTATTGGTATAGATGGCGCTGTATGTATTGGTATATGTCACATAGGCTACTTTTTACCCTTTTGTGATGCGAGCGAAGCCACAGGTAAAAGCTAGTGTTTTATAAAACAACTACACTTTGCAATCACAACTGAATCTTTCTTCATGTCTGCACCGCAGCCTTGTAATGACAGTACCACCACCATAATTCGACGGAGACGTCGCAGAGTCGCGTAAATTCAACCACAATTGTCGTACAGTCCCATCCCTTGCACACACAACTAATGATTTGAATGAAGTTGTCATTTTCTTGGTAATATGAAGATAGAAACGTCAGGTGTGTAATTATGAGTCTGGAGACAGGAGTGTATGATTTTTGAAGAGATGCTTGATCATGAAGTGGTTTAGTTATAAATTTGATAGGAGAGCCTCGTTGGCCGAGTGGTCGCAAGTGCGACTGCCAGGCAAGGGGTCTCGGGTTCGATTCCCGGGTCGGGCAAAGTATTATTGGGTTTTAAAAAAATTCTCAGTAGTACCACGGGGTCTGAAATTGTGCCCGGTAGATGGCAATTGCTCACCCCCTATTACATGGGACTCAACATAAATAGTGAAAAGTGGGTGTGACATTGTACAGTGGCATAATGTGCACCTCTGCCGACCCCTTCGGGGATAAAAGGCGTGATGTTATGTTATGTTGAAAGGAGAGCTAAGTGTCTCGACTTCTCGAGTTCGATTTCCATTCACATGAAGGCTGCCTCGTTGGATAAGGAGTCTGGGGTCGGGCGAAATACCACTGGATTTTTGAAAAATTCTCAGTAGTAGCACAGAGTCTGGAATTGTGCCCGGTATATGACAATATATCACCCCTTATTACATGGGACTCATAACATACATAGTGAATTGTAGGTGTTACATTGGCATTAAGTGCCGTAGATAATGTGCACCTTTGCCCACCCCTTCGGGGATAAAAGGCGTGATGTTATGTATGTATGTGATAAAGTAATTATGGAGTCTTTATTTTCTGATCTCCCGTATTACATAAGAATCGTAATCGCATAATACAACTGGCGATAAATATAACCTTTACT